CTAATAAAAATACTTCATTGCTTCTGTTCTCTGTAGTTCCCTGTAAATTTTGAATTTCAAAAATCAGAGTGTCTGTGTAAAGGGGTGAGTATTGATTGAGTTGCGGGCATTCTGTTATGGACGGTCAGTTATTCAAGGTTTGGAAAACCTTAAAGTACACAGTTGTTAAATGAAGCTCGCTCTTGAAGCACTTCCGCCGCATAATTGTAAGAGCAGCGCCTGTAAATCGTGCTTGTAATTAGAGATCTACTTTACCAACCAATCATATGCTCTCCAGCATCCCAGCCGATACTGCACACTCCACTCTTTGGTGTAGTTACCTTATCACGATGACTTTAAGGCGGTGCGGTTTTGATGACGTCATTGGTAGATTAGAGCTTGCTGGGAGGGTGTATGGTAGGGACGCTCTTAACGCTCCAATTACGTCCAATGACGTTATCGGAATCGTTCCACCCTCAACAATACGTCATGGAGGCCGCACCGCTTCCAAGCAATTGTGATCGCTGCTTTCAGGGGGTAAGGATGAGGGCAAGTTGTGTGGTAAATCCTCGAATGTGGAAGTAGTGCTGCGAGAAGAACAGCTGTGGAGAAGAAAGAAAAAAGGACTTGTCAGAAACTTAGAGAATACATACCTCTTTGCTCTGCGCTCTGGAGCAGTCTAGGAGGCATATGGCGAGCAGAGAGATAATGAAGTCGCGGAGAGAAAAAAGAAGTACGAGTCAAGAGAGCATTTCTGGTCAATAGATGCAGATAATGTAGCAATTGGTGGGCAGGCATGGATCTGTCCAAGCGTCGAAGGATCCAGGTCCTAATCTCCCGGCCTCTTAGCGACGCTTTAGACGCGCGAAAGTGACTCGACCACTGCAGTGGTGGACCTAGTACCTCCATGAACCGGAAAGACTTCTTCATTGCGGTGAGCCTGACCCTTGCCTTCAAGGCAAGCAATTGTATCGTTGGAAAGTATAGGTGGTCCCAATGGTCCAGATTATACACTTTCGCCTTCAGACGGCGGGCTTGCGATTCTAATATTACAGTGCTCGATTCTTAATCGATAATGAAATACAACTGGCAAGCATTGTGTCCACAATAAAGCAATCATTAGACCAATGACGTTATCCTGTTCAGCTTATCAAAGACGCTGCACTTTAAGAAAGTGTAGTTGATAATTACGTTTTTTAATGGTGAAGCGCCTTCAGTTCCAAAGCAGTTCAATTTTCAAGCAAATAAATCTAGAAAAAAATTACAACACGTTTATCAATATATTGTGTGTTCGAAAAGAAATGTGTTTAGTGGATGAGCTTCTATGATCGTCTTCAGACATGTAGCAGTACCTCATCGTCGATGACACCAATGTCATCATCGCCTGCCCCATGCACATTTGCTGCTCCTCCGACATCAACAATGACGCTCACTAACGGTAATGGGGTGATGGCAAGTCGTGTACCGACAATTCAACCACATAATGTGCTTGCTGGTCATGTAAGTCACTAGTATTCTTGTGAATATAATAGTTTTCTTTCTGAAAGGTGAAATACTGAAGAAATTGAAAATAAATAAAAAATGAAATGAAAATTAATATAATTATGCAAAATAATGAGACAGAAATTAGTTGGCGGTTTTAGCCTATAATTATATCCTTGAATACCACTATTCCATTAAAAGTGCTGATTTGATCGTGAGCCTACATGGGCTTAAAGTACAAAAAAATGTAGTGTGATTTCGTCCTTCTTGCGGTAACCCGCTCCGAATAACTCAGGGTTGCTCGGGTTTACGCACGAACACGAAACGGTTACTTATTCTCCCTCGGCGATTTGGTATGAACTGGTGACATTGTTGCTACACGCACCACGTTAGTAGGTTCGGCGTCATACTCGCAAATATTATTGTACTCGTATTTGAGATCTTGGAAACCACCAAGATGTCTTGTTATATAACACAAAACGAATGACTAATCTGGATATTTGAGGTCTGATTGCTATGATTTGTTTGCTCTTGGAGCTTTCGGTTGAAAACGGAGAGCGTAATTTCACAGGTTACAAGCCCACGCCAAAATGTAGGGAAACCGTCAACTTGGGCAATGCAACAGGAAATCCCAAATATGTTTGAAATAAATTAGGAAATCGCAATATTTATTCAATATTTATTTTTTTCCGGGGTCCACACGGGACATCTCAACACAGGAATACATCGCGCGATCGATCTCAGAGCCGGTAACGGTGGGTGTGGTTGCATGGTAATTTAGGTGCATGCGCACTTACAGTTACCGGCTCTGAGACTGATGGTCAGTACCTACAGCAAAAAAAACTTACATTTTAGGTACTGATTGGATTCAATTTTGCAAGTCACACGACAGAATAGATTAGTTGGAACTGATTAGAATAGTATGTTAAGATGGAGAGAGACCATCAGGCTGTTGTATTTGTTCGCGAACTAGCACGCGTTATCGATTTCGATGAAGTCCTGAAAGGATCGAATGGCATTGTGCTTTTGAATGCAGCCCGGTCCTTCAGTATCACTTCATCACTGTTCAGTTTAAATTTTAACTTCACACTTTACCCTGAACTGGTGAGCATAATCAAGTGGGGCACTTACGTCTATCTTGTTGATGGGACCTTTTCTAAATTTCAAAGCAGACGTCCCTCCTGTTTGAGAAAAGATTGCTCCCCAGCATTTGTGGACAAATCCGCATATTTTCTAACATGTGTGATGCGTCATGAAGCGGAGTGGAGAAGGAAAGTTTTGAGGAGGTACCCCCGGCCGCGCACTGTTGCACACAGGCTCTTATCCTCAGCGTGAAATGTGTTTTTTAATTATAAAACAATCATATTTATTTAATTAATGTTGTCATGAGCCAACAGGGACAACACTTGCCACAGAGTAATATCTAATTTTCTGTCTTTCAGCAGAGTATCTACACCAACAGTGGCGCACTGTCGTACTATCACCAATCGCAATGGAGCCAACCAGCCGCCTCACGCCCACATTACCCGCCACCACCGACGGGTACCTTGAACGCAGGCGCGTCGTACACGGCGGCGTACAAGCATTCGCTGGGAAATTTGATTGGACGGTATCAGGCGACGAACAACCCGGCGGGTTTGTCATTCAACTATCCGACGGCCAGCGCACCACCACCACCGCAACAACAACAACAACAGCAACAACAGC